TCTACCGTCGCAAACTGCCATTCGGGACAACAGCTTGACGATAAGAAGTCGGCTCAAGAACAGCAGCACCAGTGCTTGGAAAACCAAGACGATTAACAGGCGGAAGCAGACGAGGACGTAAGCCATAAGTAGGCTGAGAGGAGGAGGATGGCACATCAGAAGCAGATGGCGCATCAGTAGATGCATCCACAACACGTGGACGACGAGTATAAAAGTGAGAGAATGATGGAAGAATGCCAGGAGGAACCATCGGGGTAGACTCAGGTGAGGGAGAGGGAGATGTCACCGGAGAGGAAGGTGCATAATCATGTGACAAGCAAGGTGAGGAAACCATCGAAGATGGCGAAGTTGGATGTGCAATGGTTGGAGAAGCAGGGGGAGTATGACGGATGGACAAGGGCTCAACGAGGATGATAGGTGTGTCAGGAAAAGTGAGGAAAGAGATGTCCTCTACCGCAAAGGTCGATGAAGATGGACGCGGGTAGAAGGGACGGGACTCATCAAAAGTCACCTCCCAAAATATACGCATCCGACGATTGACAGGATCCCAACAACGATAGCCCTTGTGCTCATCACTATAGCCTAAGAAGACACACTCGACAGTCTGAGCGGACAGTTTGGTGCGTTCACGAGGGGCAAGAAGAATATAGCAAACACAACCAAACAAACGAAGCGCCGAATAATCAGGAGAACGATCAAAGAGACGCTCGGAAGGAACACCACCCTGTAGAGCAGTGGATGGCTGAAGGTTGATGAGATAGGTGGAGGTGGAGACAGCCTCAGCCCAAAAGTGAGGCGGAAGAGAGGCGGCGATCATCAATGCACGAGCCTTCTCAAGAAGGTGACGGTGCTTACGCTCAGCCACACCATTCTGAGCATGAGCACCAGGACATGAGAACTGGGCAAGAGTACCCTGCTCAGCAAGGACTCTACGCAACATCTTGGAGATATACTCTCCAGCAGAGTCGGCACGAAACACACGAATAGGCGTAGAGAACTGAGTGTGAACCATGGCAGCAAAACACTTATAGATAGATAAGACCTCACTACGAGAAGACATAAAATATATCCAGGTGTATCGAGAGAAATCATCTATAAAAATAATATAGTAGCGATGACCTCCTTTTGAGGCAAAGGGAGCTGGACCCCAGACATCAGAGTGAACAAGGTCAAAAGAACGCTGAGACACCGTGTCACTGTGAGGATAAGGTAATTGGACCTGTTTACCAAGCCGACAACCCTGACAATCTAAAGACACACCGCCGGAGACGGATCCAAGAAGACCACATCGAACTAAGGATGAGAGACGAGAGCCACATAGGTGACCAAGGCGATGATGCCACTACTGAAAAGAGCTGGTAGACAAGGCAACAGAGGATGAGAGACTGGCGGCAGCAGCAGCGGATGGAAGATGAAGCCAGTCAAGCTCCCAGAGACCCTGAGATTCACGACGTCGAGGGCCAGCACCAAGGAGAGTACCAGTATGACGGTCTAGAACGGAACAAGAGTCAAAGTCGAGAATGACACGACAACCAGAGTTAACAAGCTGTCCACCAGAAATGAGATCCATGGTAAGTCGGGGAACATGAGCAACATCAGGAACATGAAAAGATGAAGTGCTAAGAATGCCTCAGGCAGTAACCGGGAGAGAGGTTCCATCAACAGTAAGAACATGAATAGGAGAATCGAGAGGTCGTGTACAGGACAGAATGGATGAATCATGAGTCATATGAAAAGATCCTCGAGTATCAAGAATCCACAAAGATGTACTTGCTTGTGTAGAAGGTGGTCTCACAATGCCAGAAGAGTCAGCAGCAGAACCAGCAGAACCTGTCGATGGAGAACTGGAAGATGGAGCTAGCAGGCATCGAAGTCGCACAATCTCCTGCTCGGTCAGGGGCGCGACTGAAGAGGTCGACGTAGATGCGCCCGGCAATAGAGAGTCGGAGGCAACCAGCAGGGCGTGAAGTCGCGCAATCTCCTCCTCACTGAAGTACACAGCTGAAGTAGTCGACACAGTAGCACCGGGAACACCGGGAGAGAAGCGATCACCACCACCTGTGGAAGCCGCTAGATGTGGCGGTGTAGCATGACTAGTAGTATCCACAACGACCGGTGGAGGAGACGAGGCCGTCTGTAGACAAGCACCACGCATCAATGGAAGACGCATGTGTGAGGCGGAGTCGACGGAGCCATATGCACCAGCACTACCAGTGAAAGTCGCAAGAGGAGTCGACGTAGAGCGACGGTCACCATGTGCAGAGGTCGTGAGAAGAGTCACTGAGTAGCGACTAACACAACCTGCAGAAGACGCCGCAGCGGACGGCGTCACAGGCTGACGAGCACCAAGCACCAAGGAAAAGCGCATATGCGAGACAGGATCAGTGTAGGGTACACCTTCCAAAATCGGCGGACAGTGCGGAGAGGAAATTGTACGGTTTGTACTCGACAACATTATGCTTCCTTTTTGTTTCTTCTGTCTTTTTTTTTATTGAAGGTAACCAGTCAAACAGCCAACACAGCCGCCGAGCAAATCAGATCGAGATCAGTAGGCGGCAGGCGCAAATCAGATCGAGATCAGTAGGCGGCAAGCCATCTATGCAAGTGAACATACAGAAGACTGGATAATTTCACAGTCCATATCAATAAAATTATTGGAAAGTGATGGAGGCTCCCGCTCCCGCTCCCGCTCCCCTCCTGGCCTAGCCCTCCCACCTCCAGCCTCGCCGCCGACGACCCCCGTCGGTAGCCCTCCCCACCGCCTAGCCCCTCCCCCGACGCCCATGGCCTCCACCTCTGGCAGTTCTGGTGACCTCAACCCTGCATCGCCCGACGGCCGCACAGCTGCAGCCCGTCGTCGACAAAACGGCCAGCATGCTCCCCACCTGGAAGGCGCATCTCATGAACAAAGCCGGCCGCCTTGCGTACGTCAAAGCCATCCTCAGCGCAATACCGATCCACCAGCTCCTCGCCCTCGTGCCACCCAAGAAGACCATCCGCGCACTCGAGAAAATTCAGCGCGGCTTCCTGTGGGCTGGGCGCGCGGAGGCAAACGGAGGCCACTGCCATGTCAACTGGCAGCGCGTCGCTAGGCCGCTCTCGCTCGGTGGCCTCGGCGTGCGCGACCTCGGACGGACCAGCCTTGCGCTCCGCACCCGCTGGTTGTGGTTCAGCCGCACGGACAACACCAGAGCATGGGCAGGCCTCGACCTGCAGTTCACCGCTGAGGAGCGCTCATTCTTCTTCGCCTCTACCACCATGCAAATCGGGAACGGCACGGAGGCCCTCTTCTGGGAAGATCGCTGGATCGACGGTCACTCCGTCTGCGAGATCGCGCCACTCCTCTACGCCTGCACCCCCAAGCGCCGCCGCAAGCTCCGGACCGTCGCCGATGGCCTCCAGGCCAACAAGTGGGCACGGGACATTCACGGCACGATCGGCATACACGAGATCGGGTAGTACCTACAGCTCTGGCAAACCATCAGCGCCACGACACTCTCCGCCGAGCCAGATCGCCTAGTCTGGAAGTGGAGCACAAGCGGCGTCTACTCCGCCAAATCAGCCTACCTCGCCACTTTCAATGGCTCCTTGGGCTGCGATGCATGGAAGCTCACCTGGAAGAATTGGGCGCCGCCGCGCGTCCGCTTCTTCCACTGGCTCGCCCGCCTGGACCGATGCTGGACTGCCGACCGCCTCGCCCGCCGCAGCCTGCAGCACCCCGCACGCTGCCTCCTTTGTGATCAGGCCCCCGAGACCATGCACCACCTCACCCTCGCCTGCCCCTTCACCAGACAGATTTGGCATGAGGTTCTGCACTGGCTCAGGCTCCCCTGCGCCCCGCCCGACAGAGAGCTCTCTCTCAACGACTGGTGGCGCACAGCGCGACATGCCACCCCAACACTCATGCGCAAGGGCCTCGCCTCCGCGACCCTCCTCGTCCCATGGATGATATGGAAGCACCGCAACGACTGCGTCTTCAACAGAGGCCAGCCCTCGACGACCGACCTGCTCACGAAGATCAAAGACGAGGCCACCCTCTGGGCCAGAGCCGGCGCCCTCGGGCTTCGTGCCATCTTGCCCCAAACCTGGGACGTGCACTAACATGCCCTCAGCCTTGTAATTCCCTCCTAGGAGGATTGTAACCGAAACCCTCTTTCCAAAGCAATGAAATGCAAGCTCTTCTTGCGTTTTCTCGAAAAAAGATCAGTAGGCGGCAGGCGCAAATCAGATGACAGCAAGTGGAGGAGGCTGGTGCACCATGTCATGGGCCTGCACCGGAGGAAGATGGTGCAGCAGCCGCAAGTGGACAAGCACAAGCACACATTGGGAGGATACTTGTGCATGCGCACGTCAGGTTCGGGCGGGCCGTCACGGGCGAACAGCCAGTGGCCGGATAAGTCTGCCCGACCTTGCAGACCACGCGGCGGCTGTGGCGTCCATAAGAAGCAGCGCCCCGACCCGTGCTGAGGAGGCCATCGGGCGTGGATGCTTCAGGCCAGGGCGGCGGATCGGACCTGGCGTGGACGGATGGGTAAGATTCCACCGGAGCAGAATAGGAGAGGAAGCAGCGGCGGCCGTCCGGCTCTAGTACCATGTACAGGTGCAGAAAATATGCAGAAAACCCCTTACACAATGGGGTAAAGAGAAAAGGCTACATGACCATATATATACTACTCTAACAGATCGCTTGTCTGGTGTGCTACCATCTTGATCTGCCACTCTGAGAGCACATTGACAAGTAGCCAGCCAAGAGATTCGCTGTTTATACTTGGCCACTTGGATAATAGTATATGTGATGCCTAGTGACCCTAGTCCATGATAAAAAAACAAGGCATTTATTGGGCAAAACAATCACTTATAGTTTAGATCTGGATTATACGAACTAATTTAGTCAATTATCCTTACTTGCCAATTATCATGCAGCTATTACATCAATGGCATCCTGTTTATTGATCCTTAATTCCTTATACTTGCATGTAATATTATGATATTTAATACAGTTTGTTCGGGATATTCATGACATGATGGCAACCAAACTACAATATCAGTAAGTTTTCCTTATGAATTGTAGATGCAAAGTTCCGTAATGCAAAATAATGTTTAAGGAGTAACTTATCCCTATTGCATATTCACTATGGATTAGTCTTATTTAAACTATATGTTTACTCGCAAACTTCCAATGGATGGTTCATTTCCCTTGCAAATTTGACAAGGTTCATCACACTGGAGAAAAATGGGAAGATTCTTAAGTTGTTCCCTCGTGAAGTTTCTACTGATCAAATCGCTGCCATAGAGGTTGTATGTTCAGTAACTTGTTACTTGTAGCAGCATGGTCGTTGCTTTGCTAACATGTCCTTAATATTTTTGTTCACAGGATGCATATCTTAATATGGCATCTGCCTTATCTGAGGCTGATGGTATCGACTACACCAATCCTGAGGAGGTGAACCATGTTTAAACTCATATGTAAAACATGAACTTTTCTATATTCATGTTCCAATAATCTTTTTTCTGTTTATGAAGCTTGAATTATTAGTAGCGGCTCTTATTGACCTGGATGCTATGGATGGGAAAAAGAGTGTTTCCTTGATAGTTGAATGTTCAAGCTCTCCAGATGTTAATACCAGGTGCATAGCAGCATTTTGTGACTTTATTTTACTGCATTTTCCTTTCTTTAATCTGATCTGTAACCAGGTGCTATTTGTAGTTTACGTTCTTCTCATAATTAGTTATAACTTCTAGACTAACAAGCTATTGCAGAATCTCATTGAAACACAAATTTGTCCGTGCATCAAAACATACAATTTCATTTTGGTTACATCACTAAAGACTCCCACACATGGGTGCCTTACTTACTCTATAAAGAACGCCCGCCGAAACTAGTTTTTTTTTTTGAACAACCGCCGAAACTAGTTCTGGAGCTGCTTTTACTTTTTTCAGTGCAAGTCGTTAGGGTGGCCCGATCTTCGTGAATTGGAGGCGGATTTAGGAAGAACATGAAGGAAAACGGGAGGAATCACAAGAAGCACTAGTACTAGTTAATCAGGTAGTACTAAATCTCCGAGGAACGAGCGGACAAACGGAGTTTATCTCCTCGTAACTTGAAACCGTGGTGGGTGGTGACTGATTCACGCGTGGGACAGCAGCAACTGCGGCTCGGCGGCTCGCACGCGACTTGACAGCGGCGCACCAAAAAACAATCTGCCTTTGATCCGGTAAACGAGACTAGGCTAGATTTCTGCAGCGGTGCGAAGCGAATCTTCCAGTCGGTCTCGGCCACTTGCAGCGGGCGGCGGCGCACAGGAGGCGCAACTCTAATTCTCTCGTCTTAATCTTGTATCTTTGTTAGATAAAACGAGAATAAACGAGACACGAGAGTACACGGATTTTTATGTGAAAATCTTTGCGGAAAAAAATCATGAATGCACGAAAGCGCAATCACTATAATGGAGGAGTATTACAAGCACGAGAGGACAGACCGTCTTTAGGTACGACTACATGGGTATATATTGTTAGAATAAATCCGAGGCACTCCGTCGACCATCCGAGGATCAAGCAATCACACGATCATGAGACCGAGATTTGTTAACGAGGTTCACCGATATGGCTATATCCCCGGGACCTGACTATGGGCGCTCCTCTCCATGACACCGCACAATACCGCACACCGGCCACTCGGGCGCTGGTACACGCCGCCGACTCCCCCTTGCGTGCCTGTGCTATTATGTTGGCATAGGTTACATCGTGTGCCTACCCCTGCTATATATGAGAGGCCTAGGATACAAGTGCGCTACTAGGACACGACTCCATATCGTATTTAAACAGAATACTACTCAGAGTCCAACTGTAACCTACCTTGTACACAATATTCGACACAACTCTAACAAACTACACCTTGGCGAATATTCTCCACCACTTTGAATTCATCAATGCATCAAACTTTCATGTACATTGGACTTGAGTTTATCCCATGAGTACCGCTGCTACTCCAAAGACTCCATATAACTCTACCTGCAACTTGTAGTCCTTTTTTTTTCTTGACCACAGTCAACACTCGAGCAAAATTAAGTTCCTTGTTACTCTAGTTTGTGCTCCCGACTTCCAGAGTATTCGTCCAACATCATCACACACTGATCACTGACCTGCGTGAAAGTGAACAACTCACATATTGGGTGTCACACATAAGAGTTACCTGAATTCAATATCACCACTCCTTTTTTGACTGCCTGTCTGAAACTTGAAGGAATTTCACCGTTGCTTGTAGTCATCCCGAGTCAAATTCGCAGTTGCCTCACCATATGTATGACCATATGGGTCCCTGGCCCGTCTCCATGTCCCGTGCATACCGCACGCCTCGCCGCTATTACCGTGTTGAGCCTCCGCTGTCCCGGTCGAGTCTCAAGGGTCGCGTACCCACACCACTCAACCCCCACTGCAGAGTACCACCGATCATCACCGACTGATGACGAGTTTCACGCTTCCATCAGACCATTGGGCTCCAGTCCAAACTGCTTGTCACTCGCTTTTCCCGCTGAATAGGCTTCGACTCTCTGTCGACTTACGCCGTACCCCCTCAATCAGCACCTGAGTGAAGTCTTCCAGACTCCAGCTCCACCTTCAACAAGACTCTATGGTAAATGATAAGTCCACCCGTATGCCTTATCGACTTCAAGCTCCATGTATACACCACCTTGAGTCAATCCCGCGCCATAGTCTTGTTGAAGCCACACAAGCCCTCAGGCCTGCACCACGTGTTTCCACGCCCAGAAGTCGGTCACCATCAGCATCACGATCCTATGTCGCTGTCGCCGATCCCACCACCGTCTTCTGTCCCAATCGAGTCACGTCGATCCGTCAGTCTATCTAGTCCGATCCAGCCGAACTTATCCGATCGCAATCATGCTCCACCATGCGTCGTGTCTGGCCTGCACATATGTGCATCAACCGACGCTATGTATATGCATAATCCCGCTTAGCACGCTCCAGACTCGTCAAATCCTCAAGTGCGGCTGCCATCCATACACTAACTGTGTACCAAACAAAAGGAGAACAGAAACTAAAGTCCCATATATAAAACCTTCAATTGTGCACGTACCAAAGGATCAATGACGCTAGTCAAACTCCAATCCATCACACGTTGACACGTAGCTTCTGGACTTACCTTTCTTTCCTTTTCTCAGATAGCAATCACGGTCTGATTCTTGGTCCTTGTGCTATTTTTTTTAGTCCAAACACCACGCACCTCAGCCTCGGTCCCTCTGCTCACACTCGTTCGTCTACCTGTACGCCCGCTAGTTGCACGAGCACAGCAGCCCGCTTGGCCTACATGCATGGGCCAGCTAGTGGGCCACGTCCACAGGTTCATAGTCCGAGCTGCTCCTGGACCCCGCAAGCGTGACGCCGCCGCCGCTTCCAATAAATCGTATCGATCTATACGCCGCCGCTGCACGATTCCGCCACCCGTACGCTCGCCCGATCGATTGTTCAAGCGCCGCACGTCTAGCCTTGTGTGCATACGCGCCTTTCTCTGATCTGCTTTCTTCTTGATTGAATTGCTTTGATTTCCAAACACGACACCGTCATTCCTAAATCTTCAAGAGCAACCTTGATCCATCGACGCGACAACATCCGCTGCCATGTCTCCAATCATACTCATTGCATCTCGCTATATTTCATCGACAACTTTCACGTGTTCTCCTCTAGATCAACAATCCATAGCCTCCAAACAACCTAGCTCTGATACCACTTGTTAGAATAAATACGAGGCACTCCGTCGATCATCCGAGGATCAAGCAATCACACGAGCACGACACCAAGATTTGTTAACGAGGTTCACCGATATGGCTACATCCCCGGGGCCTGACTATGGGCGCTCCTCCCCATGACACCGCTACAAAACCGCACACCGGCCACCCAGGCACTGGCACACGCCTCCGGCTCCCCCTTGCGCGCATGTGCTATTGTTGGCATATGTTACATCGTGTGCCTACCCCCGCTATATATGAGAGGCCTAGGATACAAGTGTCCTACTAGGACACGACTCCATATCCTATCTAAACACAATACTACACAGAGTCCAACTATAACCTACCTTGTACACAATATTTGACACAACTCTAGCATATATGAGGGCAATACATGAGAGTCTATGGAGGACAAATAAGCGAGTTGTACTCGTATGCGTCGGTACGACCGCAAAGGCCCACACCGTTTGTACTACGTCTAGTCCAATACTGTAGAATTTCGATCATAATTTAACAGTGTGCTCTACCTTGATAGTGCCAGTGTCACTATTCCACTAGAACTTGTCTGGTTGAGGACGACACTTGTACTCGAAACACAACTTGGAGCAAAGTTCTTCACTTGCCAAGCTGTGGCAACTACCACCATCAATGATCACTTTGGTTGTTCTTCCATTGATGCCGACCTTGTTGGGGATCGTTGTAGAAATTAAAAAAAATTCTACGCATCACCAAGATCAATCTATGGAATAACTAGCAACGAGAGAGAGGGGAGTGCATCTTCATACCCTTAAAGATCGTGAGTCGGAAGCGTTTCAAGAATGCGGATGAAGGAGTCGTACTCGTAGTGATTCAGATCGCGGTGGATTCCGATCTAAGCGCCGAACAACGGCACCTCCGCGTTCAACACACATACAGCCCGGTGACGTCTCCCGCGCCTTAATCCAGCAAGGGGGGGGGAGAGGTTGAGGAAGAAGGCTCCAGTAGCAGCACGACGGCGTGGTGGTGATGGAGTGGCAGTTCTCCGGCAGGGCTTCGCCAAGCTCACGCGGAGGAGGAGAGGTGTTGGGGAGGGGAGGGGCTGCGCCTTGGATGTCGTGCTGCACCCCTCCCTCCACCCCTCTATTTATAGGGAAAAGGGGAAAGGGGGCCGACCCCTCTAGATGAGATCTAGAGGGGGGGCGGCAGCCAAGGGGGAGGGGGCTTGCGCCCCAAGCAAGGGGGGCGCCCCCTTTAGGGTTCCCCCCAACCCTAGGCGCATGGGCTCAAAGGGGGGGGGATGGCGCCCAGCCCACTTAGGGGCTGGTTCCCTTCCACCTACAGCCCATAAGGCCCTTCGGGGCAGGTGGACCCTCCCGGTGGTCCCGGTACAATACCGGTATACCCCCGAATATTTTCGGTGACCGTATGATGACTTCCATATATAAATCTTCACCTCCGGACCATTCCGGAACTCCTCGCGACGTCCGGGATCTCATCCAGGACTCAGAACAACATTCGGTAATCACATACAAATCATCCTTATAACCCTAGCGTCATCGAACCTTAAGTGTGTAGACCATACGGGTTCGGGAATCATGCAGACATGACCGAAACATCTCTCTGGCCAATAACCAACAACGAGATCTGGATACCCATGTTGGCTCCCACATGTTCCACGATGATCTCATCGGATGAACCACGATGTCGAGGATTCAAGTAATCCCGTATACAATTCCCTTTGTCAATCGGTACGTTACTTGCCCGAGATTCGATCGTCGGTATCCCAATACCTCGTTCAATCTCGTTACCGGCAAGTCACTTTACTCGTTTCGTAATGCATGATCCCATGACCAACTACTTAGTCACCTTGAGCTCATTATGATGATGCATTACCGAGTAGGCCC